GGGGAGAAAGGCAGGAAGTTATATAAACCACCTAGCCCAACTTCCCACCATCCCGGCCACTGGAACCTCTCAAACCATCAGGAATGTGGTTTCCAAAATTACCTTTACAGTCCTAAGGACTAGAAACTTGGGGTCCTTTTTCGTACTGAAAGCACTGACCTGGAGGAAGCTGGATTTTACAACCACGATCACCCAATATTTGGACAGATGCTTCCAGCTTCAGCTCCCTTGCTGTTGTGGGTTTTTAGGGAGGGATTTTAAAAAATCCTCAAAAGGAGAGGGAACCAAATTACGGCAGATGGAAGTGAAAAACATCTCATCTTCAGGGCATATGTTGCCCCAGCATCAAAGTATGGGTACCAACAGCAAACTTCTCAAGGTTATTTGGCTGGCATGGATGTTCTTAGGTTTCAAGGACCTGATTTTATTTTCCTGTTACTCGTGCATATACAGCTTTTCCTCAAAACAGCTTCATGAGCTGCTAAATTCAGATAACCCCCAACCACATAATGTCACCGCAGCAGAAAAACACCAAAATGCAACAGTTAAAAAACAACACCCAGATAAGCAGAGATTAACACCAGGATTAACACCACACAATCAAGCAATAAACAACAGCCTAATCTAGGAACTACCAAGGAAAAAAACCCTCTCCCACCAACACTAAAAGGGCGAGCTATTGCATATAAATGGAGAGCAAACCCCACTCCCTACTAGCACTGAAGATGTTACCTAGACAGGTAATGAAACGTCTGCAAGAAAACAACCAAGCTCGGAGAACCCCACGGACTCCCCAGTTAGAAAACAAAACAACTGGCATTTAGGTTGGTTTCTAAAAGAAAGTAAAGTTAATGCCCGGTGAGTTTTTCTCTGGAAAGCATTCCCAAAGCAGAACAATTCAAATGAAAAAGCCATCATGGGGGGCCATCACTGCCCAAAAGAGGGTTTGCACTTCTGTGAATCTCAGGGCTGCTCAAACCTTGTGGTTTCCTGCGATTTGGTGATGCTATTTTGCCCCTTAATGGAGTGAATTCACACAGCATGCTTAAAGATCCAGCAGGAAATTGGTTTATTTAGGCCAGTGTTTGTCAACCTTGCCAACTTTAAAATGCCTGGACTTCAACTCCCAGAATGCCCCAGCCAGCC